CTGAGGTTGCAGTGCATTTAAAATTCCACAGGTGGAAAAAAAAAAAAAAAAGTTTTTGTTAAAGAATGGAGTAATAGCCTAGTTTGTCCTCTCTCTTCCCTGCTTTGCTGTAATGAGTCCAAATTTTTTCAGGAGAAGAAAATCAAATGGTAGTGGCAGCTTAGAAAGTTTTCATATAGCTACTGGCACGTTAAACAGACTCAGTTGTCAGAGCTTTAAAATGTGTGGACTGTGTGGACTGTATTTTTGCAAGCTGGCACTCTTAGTGTTTCCCAATAGCAAATGAACCAAAGCTTTGCACTTGTGAAGCCCAGCACAAGACTTTAATGGTAAACAATTGCTGACAAGTTTTTTGGTTTTGTCTTCTGAGGAATATCCTTTTGCTTCCATGCAGTCATGCCTCTCTTTTGGCATGTAATCGTGCACCTTCCACCTGCACTGCTGTAAAAGCACTGGTCCGGAAAATAAGTTCCTGGATAAGCCACTCACTGAGGGAAGGAGGGTGATGGGCAAGGTCTGGAAATTTGCTTGGGCGATGGAGCTGGACAGGATGTTGGTATGATTGCTGCAGGTGTATGACTTCAGGCTGTTGGCCTGGAGGGGTTCCTGAGAGTTAATGCACTGAAATGCAAGACAGACCCACAGGTTAGATCGGGCTGGCCCGTGGAGGGAAAGTGTTCAGGCTGCCATGACCTTCAGAAAGCACGTTGCTTGTATTTCCACTTGGTTAGAAAGCCCCTCTGCTTGCAGAACACAAATCCTTATATGTCTTTGCACTCTTCATTTTCTCATCTTCCTAAATAGGGTGGGGAAAGGCCAGGAGTGGAAGGCAGCGCAGTGGGTGAGGTGGAAGAGTAAGCACGGAAAAATTCTCTGTTACAAACATGGAAGCAATTTCTGTTCTTTGTATACAAATATCCCAAACCGTATGTAGCAAAAAAGTTCAGGGCAGTTTTACATTGACGCAGATTTTTATTCAAAAGTTGAGACTCAGCAAAGTACTTTACAGTCTAGGGAGAGGTTGTATGGGGGAACGCTTGAAATTCTAAAGAGTGACTCACTGTATTTCCCCTCTGAAAAAATAAGCCATTTCACTGAGCTCATCTTTGCTGTTCTGATACGCAATAACTTGTTTTTCTCACTGCTGCTGCCCAAATCTATCCCTCTAGACTTTTTGTTAAATGTAAACTTGTAAATGATTTTTTTATAATGCTGCAGTCAGAAAGTAACCCAGAAGATTTTAGCTGTAAGGATTCCCACAGACAGCTGAATTACAGCATCATCTGTACAGTTCCTTAATCTAGGCGTGGAGCCTTGAAAGGAACCCAGGCTTTGCAGTCAGCAGGTGTTCTGGCTTGTCATCTTTTCCCCACGCAGGTATTCATGTCCCAGCTCTCTCTGCTGTTCTGTAGTGAGGAACAACACTGTAGATGCTTCCAAGTGCTGGGGCCAGAGAGTTCAGGAGTAAAGTGTTTATAGGTAATGTTAGGCAGGCTGTGACTCTTGGATGCTCTGTAAGAGCCATGTCTTCAGTGTTATCTCATTGCCCCTTCCAAGGCATGCTGGGGACAGGGCAGCCCGTTGACAGTGTTGTAGGATTCAGTTTTGCAGCATGAGGATCGCTCTGCAGCCTGGTTCTGTGCTTCCAGCTTCACACAGCTGGCAGTGAATGCAGCCTGCATCGGGATAAAATGTGTAAATTAGTCCTAAAAGGAGATCTATATTCTGCTCTTTCCTTGCCATTGCACAGACTTAACTTTCCATTTTGCGTTAGATTTTGTTTACTTTCCCCTGGCTGCCATTGTTACTGCTTAATCCTTAATAGCAATGCGCAACAATAATGTTGAGAAAAAATGCTTTACTCAACGTTAACATTCAACAGTGTGATACAGTTTCTGTAGTATTTTGGCTTAACAATATGGCTATGTGCCAGCAGCAGCACAGACACCGCGATAGTGCTCATTAATGATGCTTTCTTAGAGGCTGTGTAAGAGGTCCCAGAGAGTGAGCAGAAGAGTGAGTGTGTGAATGTGGTATTTATATTTGAAAAAGATGGCAAAACTAGACTACCTGAGAATTAAAGTCCACTCTGCCTAACTTTGCTATCAAAGTATGGCTATAGTTAATACTTAGTGTATAACTACTAAGAGAATAGTGAAGTATTTAAAAAGAAGCGTGTATTTCTAAGAAGAGATGTTTTCAAAGCAGTCAGTATTCCAGCTCTGGCAGGTGAGCCTGGATAACAAGGAATTGGAAGGAATGAATAGGGTGTATCTACTGCTGCTGGCTTGGACAAAATTCCACAAACAAACAGGAGAGAGGTGTTCTAGAGCCACTGTGGTTAACTGTTGGACCATGAGCCCTGCGCCTTCTCCTGCCCCTTTGCATCCACCCACCCTCTCCTGCCACTGTTTTTTTGCTTCTATTTGCAGAAGCACTGCTGCAACCAACTCACCTTCCTCATCTCCTCCTTGAAAGATACATCAGTTTTGTACTCTGTGCTGGGTCTCACTGGTGCCGGCTGTATTTCACAGGAAAGCGCTTTTCAGGTTGGAAATGCTTGCTTGGATAAAACTGCTAGAGTTATGTGGCTGTTAGGGGAAAAAAAAAAAAAATAAAGCATTGGGGCAGGAATTCTTGTTATGGTACAGAGTCACAGAAGAGGACCTTCCTGACATCACCTTGCAGGAATTCCTCCTTTCCCATGTGCAGACAATAATTTGATCAGTGATCTGGGTGCAGGCGATGAAAGTGAGCTTGTGAAGCTCGCAGGTGTTCTTGCCTTGGAAGGGGTAGCAGCAGCCTTAGAGTGTGCAGGAGAAGGACTGGAATGGTCTTGGCAAGCTGGAGAGGGAATCCATAATGAAGAGGCTGAAATTTCGAAAAGAGAAGTGCTGAGTGAAACACTCAAGAAGGAGAATTCAAATGGCTGCAGCATATCAAAAAGAGATCTGGAGTATGTGTTGAATGCTTAGCATTATGATGTGCTTGCACAGAAAATCAGTCTTATTTTGGAAATGTTGTATGTAAAATACAAAGGAGAGTTGACCTAGATTTTTTTTTTTTTTTTGAAAGGGCTGTGTATTCATCACTGGGACAGCCTGAGAGCAGTTCTGCCAGAGAGGGTAACAGAGCGGCCTTGTTAAAGCCCAAAGGCAATTGAAAAGGACTAGAGAAAGCGCAGCTAGCTGGTGCACACTGCTGTGCTGAAATCTAGCGACAGTGATGCTTCCACAAGTGGCTTATCTGTTATGGTTATGGTTTAATGCGTCTGCAGGCCCTGAGAGTGAATTAGGAGGAACATGATAGCCCTACCCAGGAATTAGAATTGCACTCCTCACTGAACGGCATGTTCTCCTATGGCTCATCCCCCAGAAGTGAGATGGTGCCGTCAGCAGGGGCAAAATGGGGACCCTGATGTATCTCTGATACACGTGTCCTTAAGAAGGATCTCTTTTCCTTTCTGGCCATGAAGATGCTGGCTTTAGGGGCTGGTTGATGCAGCCCTTGGCTTTGTAAGTAAAGTTTTAACAGTAAGCAGGAGCAGGGAAGGATTAAAAGCTGGCAGCTAGGTGAGCATAAATGACTTCAGGGATTCAGAAAGTATCTGTTGTGTTGCATTTGTTGGTTCTGGGATAAAATCTGTTCTTTCACTCTCCTGCTCAACAAACAAAGTGCTGCTTCCACTTCTTCCAGGAGCACATTGGTGGAAGGGTCAAGCCCCTCTGCTGTTACTGCTGTGCTTGTTAGAGAAGAGGAAGTTTTTGACAGCTCCCCGCACCGAATACTTCCTCTGATCAGCTGTTTCTGGTGCAGCAACAGCATTTTTTCAGAAGCTGCGTTAAATATTGCAGTGCTCAGCAGGAGAGAAACGGATGTCTGTCCTCTCATCATTTGAGAGCAAGCAGTGTTTAACTGGCGCTATTTGAACAGCTGCAGTTTTGGCTTCTTGCCCACATCCAGGTGAGGCTGTCCTGAGACCCAGCTTTGATTTGAAGGAATTCACCACCATCCCCTGGTTGCAAGCAGACTTGAGACACGGAGTTAGTCCTTGAACGGCAGCTTTGACTGCACTGACAGATCGGAGTGCGAGGGAAACCGCGGGGGGGCCCCATTTCTAGCTGTTAGTCCAGCTGTGCTTTCTGGACGTGTCACGATATAACGGAGGAGGGCAGCCCACAGCACTGCGTGGCTCTCCGGCTCCACCTGCGGGGCCGCGCCGGCATCGCCCGCAGACCCCCAGCGGCTGCTGCGCGGGGTGCAGGGCAGGGCTCGGGGAAGTGCTTGAAAGGTGCCTTAAATGGGAATCGGTTCGGACAAAGCAAAAGCAGGCCGGAAGCGGTGGGAGGGTTCGGTGAGAAGCAAGGGAGGCAGGCGTCAAGTAGTTGTCAGGTTCCGTTGTGGTTCTCGGCACCGCAGCGGGGTGTGGGAACAGCTCTGAGAGTTGTCTTGGCTCACGGGTTCTAATTACCTCGTGTTTGGCTGCAGCTCACATTCAGGTGACTGCTGAGATGTATGAAAGCTGTTCTCCACTGGCAAAGGGAAGCACATCATGTGTTCTGATTAACAGGGAAAGATGATTGCAGGCCACGAGAGTACCAGGAATCCAAAGGACCTGAAAAGGTGCACAATACTGTTTTACAAAGTTGTGCTCAATTCTGGCATGCCCACAGCTGCTGTGGCTTACAGCTGCCCTCTGCCTTCCACAGCTGCTGGAGTTACCTCCCACCACCACCTTGGCAGGAGGGAAGAAACATGCCAGGATGCTCTGGGAACCCCCCACTTCTGTTGAAATCATAGACTGGTTTGGGTCGGAAGGGACCTCACAGCCCACCCAGCCCCACCCCCTACTGTGGGCAGGGCTGCCCTCCACCAGCTCAGGCTGCCCAAGGCCCCATCCAACCTGGCTTTGAGCACCTCCAGGGATGGGGCACTGCATCTTCTCTGGGCAGCTGTGCCAGCACCTCACTGCCCTCTGAGTAAAGAATTTCCTCCTAGCATCTAACCTAAACCTGCCCTCTTTTAGTTTAAAGTCATTCTCTCTTGTCCTGTCTCCATCAGGCCTTATAAAAAGTCTGTCTCCCTTCTGTTAATAAGCTCCCCTCAAGTACTGAAAGGCTGCAATGAGGTCTTCCCAGAGATTTTTTTTCTGTAGGCTGAACGAGCCCAACTCCCTCAACATTTCTTCATAGGATAGATGCTCTAGAAATGGAGATGCTTCCTGCGCACTCCTCCTTCCCTCCCTTGTGCTGAGTGGCATGTATCCCACACTACCTCAGCTGAATTTGCTAACCCATCCACCCCAAAACCTGTCCTGTTCTGCTGAGCTGCATCAGCAGGAGGTGGTTACAGGAGGGTGCTGCTCCTTGAGGCTGGAGCTGGAGGTGAGGGGAGGAAGGAGTGCAGTAATGGGGAAGGAAGAACAGGAGAACCTAAGAAGAGGAACAATGCTCCACCAGTGGTATAGAACGGCTAGATCAACTCAGTCATCTCATGTCTACACCCTCAGCAAACTGGGACAGCTGAGACATTGAGACATGCTTCCTTCTGCTTGTTTTGCCCAGGGAGTGGTGATCTGAGGGTGACAGGGCAGGCAGCTGCAGGGTGTGACTGTCTGGCTTCTCTGCCAGCCCCAGCACTGCAGGCACCTCCAAGACATCCTCACGGGGAGATGCCCAAACTGCAGGCAGGGAGAAGGACACAGACCTGTCCCACAGCAGCTGTGGGGACCTGTCCCCATCTGTGTGCTGCTGTTAGAGTCATGTTAACCCCAGTTGTGTAGGGTCAGTCATGCAGCATTGGCTACGACTGTTCTTGTGGCCCCTTTGCTTCAGAGAGAAGAAAACTGAAAAACAGACTTTACTCAGTCCAAATTCCTTAATAAGTGATTCAAACTTGCTTTAAAAAGTGTTTATTTAAAAGTTAACACACATTTTCCTAGTTCCTTTTTAATGATGCTTTGCATCTTCCTCTTAAGTCATGCGGCTTTTGCAGTCATCATGAATCAACTCACTCTCTTCAGCTTCCTATGAAAGTGCATGTGAGCAATGTATGAAATAATATGTGTTGCAATAGTGAGGCCTCTCTTTCATTCTGTAATGCAGCCGTTTCATGGTGATTTTCTTCACCCTCGATAACAACCTTGACATTCGCCATGCTTCTTTTGAGAGACAAAGCTGTAGCTTGTCCTTTCCTCTAGATTAGCAGCTGTCTGCTGATAAATTTAATACAACTCTGCTGTTTTTGTGATTGAAGGGCCTTCATCGGAAGAGATAAGGAGTTTATATGAGGAAGCACTATGTGGTGGTATAGGAAACAGCAGCTTGGAAAGATAACTTACATTGTTAATTTGCCCAGAGAAAAGGGTTAGTGATAAAGTGAAGTGGCCTAAAGACAGAAATAGAAAGAAAAAAAGGCAGGGTGTAGGGAGACATGGTGAAGGGAAAGCAAATGTTGTGCTGGTGTGGAATAGCATTATTTGATGCATGCGTTCAAAACATTTAAGAAAAGATTAATGAGATGAACGCATTTTCTGACAAAAATCTTGCAAGAAGAAATTAAACACTGTGCAACAGACTTCACAGATGCATTGAATATTGCAGATAAATATACTAAAGTGTTCTAAGTAGATCTCTGAAGGTGATCAAGGCCAGAAACCATCAAGTGATGGGTTCTTGGGCAGTCTGATCTAGTGGTTGGCAACCCTGCCCCCGGTGAGGGAACTGGAACTACGTGGTATTTGGAGCCCTTCCAACCCATGCCATTTTGTGATTTTATGATTCTGTGATAAGTACAGTTTTAAATATCCAAATGGAAATTATTTCTGCATTACCTTCAGTGCCACTGTCAAATGCTTGCAGAAAAGCTGGGTCTCAAAGCAGCACATCACTTTCTCCATTGAATTCTGCTGTAAAAATAAGGCTGTCCTGCTCAGTTTCACTGCTTTGGAGCACCGAGGGCAAGCAGTCATGTTTTCCCATGATCTATTTTCTTTTAAGTTCAGTTTTCTAAAACAAACTAAAGAGGACAGAAATGTTTGTGGTTCTGTCCATAAGCACACAAACTGATAAATACTTTTCTGAATGATCAGGGAGAGAACAGCAATTTTCTTGAATTCCTTTATGAACTTTATCAGAATGTCTTGTAACCTCTATTGTTAATGAGTGGTTAAATAGCGTTAGGATAATTAGATATTTGTGGATAGAAAATATGAAGCCTTTAAAATAGTTCTGCTTACTCTGTCCAGTGTAAATGGAAGAAAGCTACCTTTGGGCAGGTTGTACAATATGTGAGAACTGCATCTTCATAATTTGCTCTCTATAACCAGTTCCAGGCCACAACCCACTTAATGAAGAGCATGTGGCGAGAATACTGGCAGGTAGATCTGCTCTTGCATGTTTCCTAGAGCTGTGCTGCTGTGTGAACCAAGCTTGGAAGTTCTGCCCACTGTGACCTCTGTGGTGGCTATGGCCTTGTGAGCCTTCTCTTTACACAGCTCTGGCCATTCTGCTTCTCTGCTTTAGCAGGAGGTTGGACTATATGATCCCAGAGGCCCCTTCAACCACTGTGATTCTGTGTGGTGTTGCTGCTTTAGCCTGTAAAGGATTGCACGGGGCCTTTGAAATGGTGTCAACAGATTCAGATTTCTTTAGGGAAACTGAATAGGGCCTATAGCCACACTCCAGCAGTGCAGCTCGGCTCCTGTTCAGCCATGCAGGTTAATCTCACTAATCTGCTCTAGGAGGTGCTGATTGTTTTCAGTTCCCAGTTAGGCTGGGAAAAGTGCCAACGCTGGCAGAGAAGGGCAGTGGTCTTCCAAGAGGTGGAGAATGAAGCTGGCTCAGAAAAGAAGAAAATCAAAGGGTTTTCATTATTTCTAAGCAGATTTGAGAGTGAGGAGAGAGGGGTTTCTCCTTCTATTTGACATCAGTAGAGGTTTTGCTGTCAGGTAGGTTGATTGTGCTGCTGCTTACCTGTGAAGCCAGGGGTTGCTCTTCCTAGCTGAGACGCTCGTGTTCTTTGAGATTTCAGGGTTTATGCACAGTGTTGTTGCCACTTCCTTTGCCTTTTGACCCCTGAACGAGGACACCCTTTGAGACAACCACACACTGGACACATAGGCCCCTTCCAAACCCCTGTGCTGGAATCATCCACAGTTCAGCTTGTAAGCATGAGGTAGTCCACCTGAGATCTGCTGGTGTCAGCATAAAATAACCAAAAGCAAAGTTATACCTCAGGAGATGACTTCAGACCTTGGGATAGTAGGATGTGTGTAAGATGAATGATCCCAAGAAATGGATCTACAGCTGCTGGCTCTTCGCTCCACAGGTTTTGGTAGTTTTGAACTTCTGTCATTTTAAAAATACAGCTGATATAATTAAAGCTATATTCCTCCTTCTGGGGAGAGGATTTGCATCTTTCTCTCTTGTGGTGGTTTTGGAATGGACAATTTGTGTGATGAATTTTGTGCAGCTGAAACTGGGAATTTTGTTTGGTGTATTTATTTTCTACTTCACTGTGTGAATTTTTTACAGGGTGAAAGAAGGAAGTGGTTGGCTAAGTCACTTTTTTTTTTTTTTTTTTTTTCCCTTTATCACAACTACCAGTAATAACCACGGGGAAAACATGCAAACACTGAGTATACAGTGTAAAGCTATATATGGGAGAAGGCTGCTTATTGTAAGCCTGCTGTCAGCGAGGCTACACCCTGTCTGTAAGTGTTCACCCGCTTGTGTTTCTGTCTGTCTCTGCTTGCTGCTTGAATGCAGGCTAAAAGTTTGGCGACGTGTTCTATGGTCTTTTAGTTGCTTGCAGGGAAGATCTTATGAGCAGGGGCCACGCACAGAACAGTGATAAATGCAGTTAGGAAGAGGATGAGTGATAATTTATCCTGCTGGGTTGTATCACTGCTAAAAGCAAACAGCACCGATACAGAGCTCTGATGGAACCCTTCATCGCTCTTGAAATGTGTGGAGGTGTCCCGGTGTTCTCGGTACTCTTTCAGCTGCTGCTCATCCGGAGGGTTTTTAGGGAAAGCATTTTGTACTCACCCAGGCTCACAGAAGAGAAGATTCAGGGTTGGTTTGCAGATGCACCCCACTGCTCACAGCTTTGGGCAACTGCATTGTTGTTGGTCATTGGGCTGGGGAAGAGGATGTGTGTTGGAAAGACCACCACAGAGTGACTGAACCTCAAAGTGTGATTTCAATGGGAAGAAGGGATTAGTCCCAGCTGGTGCAGAAGTTGTCTCCTCTGGTGCGATTTGAGACAGTTCTTTATGTTCAAATTCAGTTGTTCTGCCAGAGAAGCAAACCTCAGCTGGGGCATGGGTGCTTTTTTGGTATATTTGTCTAATATAGGAGTCCTAGGTATGTTTGTCATATGCTTTAAAATGTTCTGAAAAATCTGTATGAGGTTGTATTTTTTCTTTCCTCTGCTGAATCCAAAAATAATGTTTTCAGCATTAAAGAGTGAGTGTTTCCATTTTACATTATTCATAATTTTCAGGATGAGTTAGTTCTGTTTATTTTGTACTGTGAACTTCTTTTCCCGTATGGAGTTTTTTTGCAGGGATGCAGAGTATAGATACTAATAACTATGAAACCAGGAAGTGTCTGTGTGTGTGTGTGTATATATGTATATATACACTAAGATTTTTTGAGTGACTGAAAATTGCACCTTACCTATATTTCTTATGTCTTCATGTGCATTCAATTATATTTTTTCTAGACACAAGCTATGTCTTATATTCCTATATTGCATAGGAATATCTTATATTCTTATATTGTAAAAGAGTATATTAGTTTCCACTTTTGAAATCATTAACCTCTGACCTCTTAAATGTGACAAGTTCGGTACATTACTGAAGTAATAACCTCTAAGAACCACTGCTTTCTAACTTTCTTGGAAATGCTGGTCAGAGCAGAAGACCTCTTTTTAAGTGTTATTTTGACAGGCTGAGGGAGCTGGGCTTGTTCAGCCTGGAGAAGAGAAGGCTGTGGGGTGACCTCATTGCAGCATGTCAGTACCTAAAGAGAGACTGTAAACAGGAGGGGAGTCAACTCTTTGAAAGGATAGATAACGGCAGGAAATTTCAAGGGGAAATGGTTTTAAGTTGAGGGAGGGAAGATTTAGGTTGGATGTCAGGGGGAAATTCTTTACAGAGAGAGTGGTGAGGTGCTGGAACAGGCTGCCCAGAGAGGTTGTGGATGCCCCATCCCTGGGGGTGCTCAAGATTGGATGGGGCCCTGGGCAGCCTGGTCTAGTATTAAATGGGGTGGTTGGTGGCCCTGCCTGCAGCAGGGGCGTTGGAGCTTGGTGATCCTTGAGGTCCCTTCCAACCCAAGCCATTCTATGATTCTATGATCATTTCTAGTACTACTCAGAGCTTTTTCCATGCTCCCTTTACCCCTCTTCCTTTGTAATGCAGAAAAAAGAAAGTTTCAGAGCTTCGTGGGAGCCTAAACTTGCAAGTTGATTCAAGGAGTTGCTCTCCAGGCTGCATTCTTCACTTTCCACCCACTTTATGGTTCTGCTTTCCTTTTTCCATTTTCCTCTTTTCTTCTTCCCTCTTCTTGAGGCTCCCCTCAGCCTTTCATAGCATGTACCTGGGTTTGGTACCTTACCTTTGGTAAGCCAGCTGCCTTCCAGGGGCTTTAACTTCATTTTCTGGGATGTTTTATCCCATTACAGTGTGTAAGATATTCTATAGTATCTATACTATAAAGTATATATCTACAGTAGTAAGATGCATATGGAAGATAACTTCCTTAAAAATAAGACTCCTCAGGTTATCCTCATGCATCATGAAGAAACAAAACAGCTAAATCTAAGAAGTGTATTTCTTATTGGATTTGAAAATCTCCTTTGGGAAGAGGCTTTTAATGCCAAGAGAGTAAAATCTCTCAAGAAATGCAGATTGGAAATTGCTTGTGAGCCTTACCTGTGTTTTCCCATGTGTCCCAGGCTTTCAAAAGCAATTAAAATTCTGAACGTGCTGGCTTTATACCCTCATCTCATTTGTTTGGGGTTTTTTTGAACATGTTTATCCCGTGGAGTTCAGTGACGATGTTAGTAATCCTGTCTGTCTTAACAGTTCAACTGCTTTCCACCTTGATTATTACTCTTCATAAGAGGCTCATTTACAAACAGCAAGGAGATGTGGTTCGTGCTGTGTCAGATTTTCTTCTTTGCATGCCTACTCATGCAGTGGTCACCAACTGATACAACTCTAGTAATAACACTAACCCGCATTTTCGGCTGCTGGTTTGTCAGTCCTTTCACTTCTCAGCTTGGCTGCCGACTGAATTACTGAAGCACATTTTGATCCCTACGCAGCTCTTTCTGAGTGCAGAGAGGAATGATGGAATCGAGCAGCAAGGCAGCATTTTCCCAGCAGAGGGAGGTGTTGTAAAGCTCAGCCTCAAGCTGGTTTCTGCTTGCTGGAGACAGATGTGTCCTTTACAGCTGAATTTTATGCATTCGTTGGGCAGAAGGTCATGGGGTGCAGAGTTCGGGGGAGGCAGCCAAAAGAACTTGGTTTGTGTCCAGATCAACAGAAGATTTTTTCCCACGCTCGCTCTTATATTTTTATATTATTATTCTTGAAATAACATTTGCTGAAAGCTCAGTGGTGAGGTGCTGTCAGTATGGCCAGAGTAGGGGCAAGGAGGGCTGCCCATCCTCACCACAGCACCTACTGGTAGCCATTTCACCAGTCCACTGTCCCCTCAAATCCCAAAGTGCTTTGTTGGATTGAGTGAGCCCCTGCCTGGGTGAGTGTTGAGTGCATCACCGTGCAGCTTTTTGCTTTACTTTTTTATGGCAGGGAGGTGCAGCCATAGAAGTAGTTTAAAAAGACAGCAGCTACTGGCAAATTGCAGCACTTGCACTTTTTGACTGAGTATGGATGTAAATCCAAGCAGGGCTTTGCAGTGAATGAAGTGCCCCACACTTAGTGCAATCCACACATTAAATATGCATACTTCAGGCTTGATTGATTGCTAAGTGGAGCAGGGTAAGAAACATCTGAGCAGATGTTGGAGTCCCATTAGACACAAGGAAGGAAGCATGTAATTAGGCAATTATTTAACTCCTTGAATCAACAGTTTAGGCTCCCACAAAGCTTTGAAATTTTCTTTTCAAGGTTCAAGCGCTTAGATCTGTGGCTTGATTTCCCTCTGCTCGTTTCCTTTTATCTTTATCTTCTCCAGCACTGGCCCAAGGCATGGGGCAGGATTCCTTGGCACCCAGAGCCGTATGCTATATGGACAGCAAACCAGGAGCACAGCTGCTTCTTGTGTCAGTGGAAAGGCTCTCCAAGGAAAAGCATGGAAAAGAGAGTAGTTATTGTTTGGTTTTTTTTAATTTTTTTTTTTTTTAATCTTGACTTTCAAGAGTGTTTTCCTAACAGACCTTGTGAGAAACAGCCGAAAACCAACACTTTGGATTCATCCCTCTTGAGAAACTCATCCCAGTGATAAGCTGGGTCAGCAATGGGGGATGGAGAAACAATGTGGGTGGAGAAATGTGCACTCCCTTCCGCCCCCACTGCTGCCACATTTTAACTGTGTGTGCTTTGGAGGCATTTGCAGTGCTCTCTTTGCAATGCTCTTTGGATTTTTATTTTTTTTTTGACCTTTTGTGCTGCCCTGTAAACAGCTTTTCGTATCACTTTGAAAATCTTCAGACTAAATTTGATTGAAATTGGGTGGTCTGTTCAAAGTTAAAAATACAAGGATGTGCCACTGGAGTGGAAAATAAAGATCGGTAACATTGATAAAGGCTTCCTTGTGTGGAATGAGAATGCTGAAACCTTCTCTTCCCTATTTTCTGTAGTTAATGTGCATTCTCTACACATAAGAACTCATCAAGTAATGTGCTGAATTAGAAGTACTTGGTGTTTTGGGGTTTTGTTATTATTATTACTAAATTACATCATGGGCTTTAGTGTCATGATTTATCCTTCTCAACACAGTGAAATATAACCAGTCCTAACTTGTCTTAAATGATTTTAAAATTGCATTTTGAATACCCACAAAACAGTAGCATTTCCCCAGTATTTTGAGCACCTTTTTTAAACACTTGCAAGAAAAAGCAGTTGCAAAACGCTTTTCAGGTGCGAGGTATCAGTGACATTCAGATGTGATATATCAAGATAAATGCTTTGTAGGGATTAAGTGAAAACTCGAGCATGACCCTTTTACCACATAATATGGGATGGATGAAGGACTGCATCATTTCTGTTTAGGTTTTGTCTTTTGCTGCTTAGACACAGGTGAGTATTTCCCTCTAACAAAACACTGACAGTATGGTTTTTATCACGATCTCATTGTGGCCTTCCAATACTTGAAGGGAGCATATAAACAGGAGGACGAATGGCTGTTTACGAGGGTGGATAGTGATAGGACAAGGGGAAATGGTGTTAAACTGAGACAGGGGAGGTTTAGGTTAGATATTAGAAGGAAGTTTTTCACACAGA